GACTAACTTGACTTACGACTACAGTCTAATTGGACCTACGACTACAGTCTAATTGGTCCTACGACTACAGATTAGCTGGACCTACGACTACAGATTAACTAGACCTACAACTACAGACAAACTGGACCTACGGCCTACGACTTTACAAAATCTATACCAAAGAAAGATTACGCTACAGCTAGACGCTGATTGTACCTACCACTCGACTGGCCTTTGACTACAACCGTAGACTAACTTCCCCTACAACATCAACTCGACATGCATCAGCTGCTGATCCTGTTTGTTCATCTTTCATGTCTTTATTTATTTATCTATTTGTGCAAGACACACAGAAGATGAAATAAACAAAAACACATTTTAATGTGAAAAATGATCTCGTCTCTCACCGAACAAAGCACAAAGGTCATTGAATGGCATTAGCATGTCATATGACATTGAATGGCATTAGCATGTCATATGACAATGAACAAGTCGGGAGTTAACTTTAACCTTTCTAAATCCGGAGCATCAAGTATGGACATTTTAGAAAAAAAAAATTCTCAAAAAAGTGAAAAAACACTTAAATAGTAAAGTATAGGGTCTAGACAAAAATGACAGAGAAAGAGAAAAAAGTGTGAAATGTATCGTCGTGTGTTGTGTAAAGAAACAGTGAACAAAGTAAATTATAAGGGTAGTGAACATCAAATGTGACACCTAGGACGCATATCATACGCCATGTAACGTTATACAACATGTTCATAGAACCATAGAACACCATCATACATACGTGTGTGGTACATAATGTTGTAACCATCTCCCTTTATCACACACACACATACACATAATCACACACACATACACAAACCATGACACCACTTTCAACCAAATGTGTAAGTTGTGCTAAAATACTGAGCACACCATTAGGAATGATAGACTGGGGTTTAAAAAAATATAAGACACAGGCGTCACTACATAAAGTGACACCAGAAGGGGTAATTTAAGGTGTCAACCCCCACCCGTGTCATGTCAGTGTCTGCCACTGGGCCATGTCAGTGTTTGCTGATGTGCCATGTCAGTGTCTGCTGATGTGCCATGTCAGTGTCTGCTGATGTGCCATGTCAGTGTCTGCTGATGTGCCATGTCAGTGTCTGCCACTGGGCCATGTCAGTATCTGCTGATGTGTCATGTCAGTGTCTGCTGATGGGCCATGTCAGTGTCTGCTGATGTGCCATGTCAGTGTCTGCTGATGTGTCATGTCAGTGTCTGCCACTGGGCCATGTCAGTGTTTGCTGATGTGCCATGTCAGTGTCTGCCACTGGGCCATGTCAGTGTCTGCTGATGTGTCATGTCAGTGTCTGCTGATGTGCCATGTCAGTGTCTGCTGATGTGCCATGTCAGTGTCTGCTGATGTGTCATGTCAGTGTCTGCCACTGGGTCATGTCAGTGTCTGCCACTGGGCCATGTCAGTGTCTGCCACTGGGCCATGTCAGTATCTGCTGATGTGTCATGTCAGTGTCTGCTGATGTGTCATGTCAGTGTCTACTGATGTGCCATGTCAGTGTCTGCTGATGTGCCATGTCAGTGTCTGCTGATGTGCCATGTCAGTGTCTGCCACTGGGCCATGTCAGTGTCTGCTGATGTGTCATGTCAGTGTCTGCTGATGTGCCATGTCAGTGTCTGCCACTGGGTCATGTCAGTGTCTGCTGATGTGCCATGTCAGTGTCTGCCACTGGGTCATGTCAGTGTCTGCCACTGGGTCATGTCAGTGTCTGCCACTGGGTCATGTCAGTGTCTGCTGATGTGTCATGTCAGTGTCTGCCACTGGGTCATGTCAGTGTCTGCCACTGGGCCATGTCAGTGTCTGCCACTGGGTCATGTCAGTGTCTGCTGATGTGTCATGTCAGTGTCTGCCACTGGGTCATGTCAGTGTCTGCCACTGGGCCATGTCAGTGTCTGCCACTGGGTCATGTCAGTGTCTGCTGATGTGTCATGTCAGTGTCTGCCACTGGGTCATGTCAGTGTCTGCCACTGGGCCATGTCAGTGTCTGCCACTGGGTCATGTCAGTGTCTGCTGATGTGTCATGTCAGTGTCTGCCACTGGGTCATGTCAGTGTCTGCCACTGGGTCATGTCAGTGTCTGCTGATGTGTCATGTCAGTGTCTGCCACTGGGCCATGTCAGTGTCTGCTGATGTGCCATGTCAGTGTCTGCTGATGTGCCATGTCAGTGTCTGCTGATGTGCCATGTCAGTGTCTGCCACTGGGCCATGTCAGTGTCTGCCACTTGGTCATGTCAGTGTCTGCCACTGGGTCATGTCAGTGTCTGCTGATGTGTCATGTCAGTGTCTGCCACTGGGTCATGTCAGTGTCTGCCACTGGGTCATGTCAGTATCTGCTGATGTGTCATGTCAGTGTCTGCTGATGTGTCATGTCAGTGTCTGCCACTGGGTCATGTCAGTGTCTGCCACTGGGTCATGTCAGTGTCTGCCACTGGGCCATGTCAGTGTCTGCCACTGGGTCATGTCAGTGTCTGCTGATGTGTCATGTCAGTGTCTGCCACTGGGTCATGTCAGTGTCTGCCACTGGGTCATGTCAGTGTCTGCCACTGGGTCATGTCAGTGTCTGCCACTGGGTCATGTCAGTGTCTGCCACTGGGCCATGTCAGTGTCTGCCACTGGGCCATGTCAGTGTCTGCTGATGTGCCATGTCAGTGTCTGCTGATGTGTCATGTCAGTGTCTGCTGATGTGCCATGTCAGTGTCTGCCACTGGGCCATGTCAGTGTCTGCTGATGTGCCATGTCAGTGTCTGCCACTGGGTCATGTCAGTGTCTGCCACTGGGTCATGTCAGTGTCTGCTGATGTGTCATGTCAGTGTCTGCCACTGGGTCATGTCAGTGTCTGCCACTGGGTCATGTCAGTATCTGCTGATGTGTCATGTCAGTGTCTGCTGATGTGTCATGTCAGTGTCTGCCACTGGGTCATGTCAGTGTCTGCCACTGGGTCATGTCAGTGTCTGCCACTGGGTCATGTCAGTATCTGCTGATGTGTCATGTCAGTGTCTGCTGATGTGTCATGTCAGTGTCTGCCACTGGGCCATGTCAGTGTCTGCCACTGGGTCATGTCAGTGTCTGCTGATGTGTCATGTCAGTGTCTGCCACTGGGTCATGTCAGTGTCTGCCACTGGGTCATGTCAGTGTCTGCCACTGGGCCATGTCAGTGTCTGCCACTGGGTCATGTCAGTGTCTGCTGATGTGTCATGTCAGTGTCTGCCACTGGGTCATGTCAGTGTCTGCCACTGGGTCATGTCAGTGTCTGCTGATGTGTCATGTCAGTGTCTGCCACTGGGCCATGTCAGTGTCTGCCACTGGGTCATGTCAGTGTCTGCCACTGGGTCATGTCAGTATCTGCTGATGTGTCATGTCAGTGTCTGCTGATGTGTCATGTCAGTGTCTGCCACTGGGTCATGTCAGTGTCTGCCACTGGGTCATGTCAGTGTCTGCCACTGGGTCATGTCAGTATCTGCTGATGTGTCATGTCAGTGTCTGCTGATGTGTCATGTCAGTGTCTGCCACTGGGCCATGTCAGTGTCTGCCACTGGGTCATGTCAGTGTCTGCTGATGTGTCATGTCAGTGTCTGCCACTGGGTCATGTCAGTGTCTGCCACTGGGTCATGTCAGTGTCTGCCACTGGGCCATGTCAGTGTCTGCCACTGGGTCATGTCAGTGTCTGCTGATGTGTCATGTCAGTGTCTGCCACTGGGTCATGTCAGTGTCTGCCACTGGGTCATGTCAGTGTCTGCTGATGTGTCATGTCAGTGTCTGCCACTGGGCCATGTCAGTGTCTGCCACTGGGCCTTTACAGCTAAACATACAGCCACCAGTAGGATGAGACCTTGGTCTTCGTCTCCCGCTCCTCAACAATGGCCGAGGCGGTGAAGCTGAAGATGCCGATAAACATCATAGGATAGATCAAGGTGTAGTCCAAGAACAGGTCGCGCACCAGCAGGTGGTCAAGCTCGCTGGGCATTCTCTGCACGTGGACCTCCGGCAGCTTGTACGGTTCGTGCTGTTGCTGCTTCCTCCAGTAGTTGATGAAGATGCTGGTCAGCTGGTACGGTTCGTGCTGTTGCTGCTTCCTCCAGTAGTTGATGAAGATGTGGGTCAGCTGGTACGGTGCTTGCTGTTGCTGCTTCCTCCAGTAGTTGATGAAGATGCTGGTCAGCTGGTACGGTTCGTGCTGTTGCTGCTTCCTCCAGTAGTTGATGAAGATGAGGGTCAGCTGGTACGGTGGTTGTTGTTGCTGCTTCCTCCAGTAGTTGATGAAGATGCTGGTCAGCTGGTACGGTTCGTGCTGTTGCTGCTTCCTCCAGTAGTTGATGAAGATGCGGGTCAGCTGGTACGGTTCGTGCTGTTGCTGCTTCCTCCAGTAGTTGATGAAGATGAGGGTCAGCTGGTACGGTGGTTGTTGTTGCTGCTTCCTCCAGTAGTTGATGAAGATGCGGGTCAGCTGGTACGGTTCGTGCTGTTGCTGCTTCCTCCAGTAGTTGATGAAGATGAGGGTCAGCTGGTACGGTGGTTGTTGTTGCTGCTTCCTCCAGTAGTTGATGAAGATGTGGGTCAGCTGGTACGGTGGTTGTTGTTGCTGCTTCCTCCAGTAGTTGATGAAGATGCGGGTCAGCTGGTACTGCAGCTCAATCAGCTTATTTCTATTAATTTGATAATTTTCTTTTTCCAACTAAATCGTTGTTTTTTTAAATATAAAATTATTTGAAATAAATCTGTAAGTTTATAATATGAGCAGTATAGACAATGCACTGCAAAAATGTTAAGCTCTGGAGGTTGCGTATGATGTTGACATTTTGAGACAGTTCCTTTTCTTCATTTGAAAAAATCCAACGATGGTTATTGCACAACAACCAAAGCGTCCCTGTACAGATACACTTTCTTCATGCGACCTCCGGAAGTTCCCAAAATCTCGAACCAAATAGTTTTTCATTGAACACAACTACCGCGCAAAAGACGCGTATTTACGCTATAATTGTGCATGCAGTCCGAGAAACAAAACATTACAATTCAGGGATTAAAGCATCATAAATCAAGGATAAAAACATCATAATGTTATAACCATTGAAGAAGACACAACTGGTTAGGTAAACTACTTAATTAGCCACGAATGCTGGATTCTTGAAACTCAGTTGCTAAAATACTATTTTAAAAACACTTAACCCAATAAACTTAATCCATAATTATTAAACCTATCAAAACTAATAAAACCCACACTTAAACTAAACCAATAATACAACATCATTTAATCTCTAGTACTGGAAGTATATGACATAATCATCTATATACTACTAAAACTCAAGTTTGTTTACATGTTTGAATATTTATTTGTTTGTTTGATTGACTACTGTAGAGGATCCACGCTATATGGAGAACTTTAAAATAGTATGTAGGTAGAGAACAATTTATTTAAAGACGTTAATTAATTTATTGATTTATTCATTGGTAAATTAACCACATTAATTTTAAATTTTTCAAACAATGACTTTACCTTGACTGAATAGTGACGTCACAAGTTTTGTTTACTTTTTAGTACAATAAGATAGTGGCTTCCATCATAGAATTTAACGCGTTCTAAAGCTAATTTTCTGTCGGCCATAACTTTAACAATACGTCCGTTTGCTGTTTTTATTAAGTTCCAACACTTATATAAATTTTCAACTGTCTTTTTCATTTAGCTTTACAATAAATTTCTCTAGCTCTACAATCTGTCCAAGAAAGCTATTTATAGATCTAAAAATATCAGCTGGCCAAGAAAGTTATTTATAGATCTAGATCTAGAATATAGGTCAATCCAAAGATTAATTAGATACATAACAAAGATTAATTAGATAAAAATACAATCCATGTTATAATCATAATACATTTTTTAGTCCTTAAATACTTGATATAAATCTTTGTGATTTATCTATTTAGATCTAGATCTATCTAGCTAGAATAGGTCTAATAATAAGATCTATATTCTAGATCTATCAAGAGTTACACAAAAACTAGACTTAAGACTAAAATTAAGCAAACGAGTCGTAGAATCTAGATCTAGATAATTCTATCTAGATCTAGATAATTTCAGACCTTCATTATTTTATATAAATATTTGTTTAGCTATGTAATTGGCTAATTTAAGATAAAATTTAATTTGAAAGTTACTACTACTAGACTTAGATCTAGATCTTCGCGCGTAAATCAAGTTGCATAAGGAGACTCAAAGTATTAAACTATACTATAAAAAAATCATCAGTGACATCACGAGTTAAATAGCAAAGTTATAAATGTAATCAGCTTGCATGAGGTTCTAGACCAATACGTCAATGTTATTTTTTTTTCATTTTTTTAGATGTGAATGATAAAATTACCTATCTGAACTTGGCGGGATACAGGACAGGTGAAGTAGAGTTCATCTGTTTTCTGTCTTTGTCATAAGCATATGAAGGGATAGTGTGGCCAGAGACATGCTCGGCTGAAATCGTTTTTTTAAACGATAAAAACATGTCTGCAACTTGGCGGGACACTGGGCAGGTGAAGTAGAGTTGAGTAGGTCATCTGTGACGTCAGTATATGAAGGGACAGTCCGAAATTGGTGTTTTCGATAAAAAACATCCTTTTGAATGTGAGGTCTGGTTTTTTGTGACGATAAGTGACACGTAAATCACATCACTTAATCCAAACTTAATGCTATATTATCTTAACACTGCGCTTATATACTAACGCCATGCACATCATATGCCCAACAGGCTAATGGAATAAATCTATAGGCCCACCATGCTAGATATTACTACAGTGTGGACCAAATTAACACTTTAATTCTTTGCTATAATTTTCTAGATTTTGGTGGGCGACAACTCTGGTTACAAGACGTGAACTCATGGAGAAAATGTTCAAGTTTGCTCTGCTCATCTGCCTTGGTTTTCTACCCGGTATGTGAGTTTCATGTAGTCAGATAGTGAATATGTGGGACAGATTTTATACTGTATGTATGTGTACTCAGATACAGAAAATGTAGGACAGATTTTATACTGTATGTATGTGTACTCAGATACAGAAAATATAGGACAGATTTTATACCGTATGTAAGTGTACTCAGATACAGAAAATATAGGACAGATTTTATACCGTATGTAAGTGTACTCAGATACAGAAAATATAGGACAGATTTTATACTGTATGTAAGTGTACTCAGATACAGAAAATATAGGACAGATTTTATACTGTATGTAAGTGTAATCAGATACAGAAAATGTAGGACAGATTTTATACTGTATGTAAGTGTACTCAGATACAGAAAATGTAGGACAGATTTTATACTGTATGTAAGTGACTTACATTCAGAAAAAATATGGTCAGAATAAAAGGCTGATATAACAATTCATATAGGTGATGTTCTTTTTAAACTTAACCGAAATCTGACTGAAGCTCCAACGCTAAACTAGACAACGATTTAACTACTAAAGTTAAACATAACAATATTCATACACTAAAGTTAAACATAACAATATTCTTACACTAAAGTTAAACTGAGAAGTAGTCTAGACCTGATCCGTTACGATAAACCTTGCCATAAATCTAGCCCAGCCCTATAAGTTAAACCTCGCCATAATTCTAGCCCAGTCCTAAAAGTTGAACCTCGCCATAATTCTAGCCCAATCCTGTAAGTTAAACCTCGCCATAATTCTAGCCCAGTCCTAAAAGTTAAACCTCGCCATGATTCTAGCCCAATCCTGTAATTTAAACCTCGCAATAATTCTAGCCCAGTCCTAAAAGTTAAACCTCGCCATGATTCTAGCCCAATCCTGTAATTTAAACCTCGCAATAATTCTAGCCCAGCCCTATAAGTTAAACCTCGCGATAATTCTAGCCCAGCCCTAAAAGTTAAACCTCGTCATAATTCTAGCTCAGCCAGTGGCGTAGGCAGGGGGAGTTAGGGGTTCTGACCCCCCCCCCACCCATAGACCTCTAGGTAGATACATAAAGGTTGAGCGGGGGTTGCAAAATCGAAAGTCTGAGGGGGAGAGTGCAAATGAAAAGTTTGAGGGGGTGGGGGGTGCAAATCAAAAGTTTGTCCTCCGGGGCCGGGGAGGGACGCTACGCCTCTGATATATACATTTATATTGCGGGAAAAAATTTGAGCCCCACACCCCATGAGACGACCCTGGCTACGCCACTGAGCTCAGCCCTAAAAGTATTTGATGTTTTATACCCAGATGCTGTACTTAGCTCTGGTTCCATTGAACTGAGTATTTGATGTTGTTATACCCAGATGCTGTACTTAGCTCTGGTTCAATTGAACTGAGTATTTGATGTTGTTATACCCAGATGCTGTACTTAGCTCTGGTTCCCTTGAACTGAGTATTTGATGTTGTTATACACAGATGTCGTCAGTAGCACTGGTTCCCTTGATCTGAGTATTGTCGGCTACGAGAAAGAATGCACGAACGACGCCAACTGTAAGAACACTGGCTTAATGATTGGGACTTTTAAAGACAGAGCTGCGAGCAAAGAGGGCAGGTGCACCCACGTCACTTTGCTTCAATGTGATCCAAGTGCGGACTGTAGCCAATCGTCATCGTGGCAAGAGGTGGGTAGCCATTTGTGACATTTCTAGTTTTTGTGTTTGTGACATTTCTAGTTGACGTGTTTGTGACATTTTTAGTTAGCGAGTTTGTGACATTTCTAGTTGGCGTGTTTGTGACATTTCTTGTGGACGTGTTTGTGACATTTTTAGTTGGCGAGTTTGTGACATTTCTAGTTGACGTGTTTGTGACATTTTTAGTTGGCGAGATTGTGACATTTCTAGTTTTTGTGTTTGTGACATTTCTAGTTTTTGTTTTTGTGACATTTCTAGTTTTTGTGTTTGTGACATTTCTAGTTGGCATGTTTGTGACATTTCTAGTAGGCTTGTTTGTGACATTTCTAGTTGGCTTGTTTGTGACAATTCTAGTTTGTGTGTTTGTGACATTTCTAGTTGACGTGTTTGTGACATTTCTAGTTGGCGTGTTTGTGACATTTCTAGTTGGCGTGTTTGGCTAATGCTTTGTGCTCCCGAAACTTCAAATTTCCATAATCCTAGCGTTAATCTTCTTGACCCCAAGACTACACAATGCCCCGTGTATACTCTGCTCTCTATATCATCCCAAGGCTACACAATATATGCCCCGTGTATATCCTGCTCTCTATATCATCCCAAGACTACACAATATATGCCCCGTGTATATTCTGCTCTCTATATCATCCCAAGGCTACACAATATATGCCCCGTGTATATTCTGCTCTCTGTATCATCCAAAGGCTACACAATATATGCCCCGTGTATATTCTGCTCTCTGTATCATCCCAAGGCTACACAATATATGCCCCGTGTATATTCTGCTCTCTATATCATCCCAAGGCTACACAATATATGCCCCGTGTATATTCTGCTCTCTGTATCATCCCAAGGCTACACAATATATGCCCCGTGTATATTCTGCTCTCTATATCATCCCAAGGCTACACAATATATGCCCCGTGTATATCCTGCTCTCTGTATCATCCCAAGGCTACACAATATATGCCCCGTGTATATCCTGCTCTCTGTATCATCCCAAGGCTACACAATATATGCCCCGTGTATACCCTGCTCTCTATATCATCCCAAGGCTACACAATATATACCCCGTGTATATTCTGCTCTCTGTATCATCCCAAGGCTACACAATATATGCCCCGTGTATATCCTGCTCTCTGTATCATCCCAAGGCTACACAATATATGCCCCGTGTATATCCTGCTCTCTGTATCATCCCAAGGCTACACAATATATGCCCCGTGTATATTCTGCTCTCTGTATCATCCAAAGGCTACACAATATATGCCCCGTGTATATTCTGCTCTCTGTATCATCCCAAGGCTACACAATATATGCCCCGTCTATATTCTGCTCTCTATATCATCCCAAGGCTACACAATATATGCCCCGTGTATATTCTGCTCTCTGTATCATCCCAAGGCTACACAATATATGCCCCGTGTATATTCTGCTCTCTATATCATCCCAAGGCTACACAATATATGCCCCGTGTATATCCTGCTCTCTGTATCATCCCAAGGCTACACAATATATGCCCCGTGTATATCCTGCTCTCTGTATCATCCCAAGGCTACACAATATATGCCCCGTGTATACCCTGCTCTCTATATCATCCCAAGGCTACACAATATATACCCCGTGTATATTCTGCTCTCTGTATCATCCCAAGGCTACACAATATATGCCCCGTGTATATCCTGCTCTCTGTATCATCCCAAGGCTACACAATATATGCCCCGTGTATATCCTGCTCTCTGTATCATCCCAAGGCTACACAATATATGCCCCGTGTATACCCTTGTTTCCCTAGACATGCCGACTGTTCGCGTACCCCTGCCAGATGAGCGCCTGTGGGAACAGCACACTTAACCAGCACAAGTGCGACTGCTCCACTTGTCACCCGACCGTCATCTGGTTCCTTGCCACCCCGACCCTGGCGTATCGACTCACTGCAAAAATCATGGAGAATAATACAGAGTTGGGACAAGTGGTCAGCAACGTCTTTTGGCCTGACGATGTTCATGGTATGGAACAGTTAGCATTGTCTTACGTATTACATATAGTATAGCTTGGGTAAAAATAGGGGTTATGTAAAGTGTTTTAATTTAATTGAATTATGTTTTTTGACAACTTAAGCAACAGGCTCTATTAATTAGGCGATCAGCACAGAGTTTCAGAGTACTACTTGATTCGGGGATTTCTACTTGATTCAATTGTTAGGAGTTTCTACTTGATTCAATTGTCAGGAGTTTCTACTTGATTCAATTGTCAGGAGTTTCTACTTGATTCAATTGTCAGGAGTTTCTACTTGATTCAGTTGTCAGGAGTTTCTACTTGATTCAGTTGTCAGACATTTCTCCTCTATTCAATTGTCAGGAGTTTCTACTTGATTCAATTTTCATGAGTTTCTACTTGATTCAATTGTCAGGAGTTTCTACTTGATTCAATTGTCAGACATTTCTCCTCTATTCAATTGTCAGGAGTTTCTACCTGATTCAATTGTCAGGAGTTTCTACTTGATTCAATTGTCAGGAGTTTCTACTTGATTCAATTGTCAGGAGTTTCTACTTGATTCAATTGTCAGGAGTTTCTACTTGACTCAATGGTCAGGAGTTTCTACTTGATTCAATTGTCAGGAGTTTCTACTTGATTCAATTGTCAGACATTTCTCCTCTATTCAATTGTCAGGAGTTTCTACCTGATTCAATTGTCAGGAGTTTCTACTTGATTCAATTGTCAGGAGTTTCTACTTGATTCAATTGTCAGGAGTTTCTACTTGACTCAATGGTCAGGAGTTTCTACTTGATTCAATTGTCAGGAGTTTCTTCTTGATTTAATTGTCAGACATTTCTCCTCTATTCAATTGTCAGGAGTTTCTACTTGATTCAATTGTCATGAGTTTCTACTTGATTCAATTGTCAGGAGTTTCTACTTGATTCAATTGTCAGACATTTCTCCTCTATTCAATTGTCAGGAGTTTCTACCTGATTCAATTGTCATGAGTTTTTACTTGTTTCAATTGTCAGGAGTTTCTACTTGATTCAATTGTCAGGAGTTTCTACTTGATTCAATTGTCAGGAGTTTCTACTTGATTCAATTGTCAGACATTTCTCCTCTATTCAATTGTCAGGAGTTTCTACCTGATTCAATTGTCAGGAGTTTCTACTTGATTCAATTGTCAGGAGTTTCTACTTGATTCAATTGTCAGGAGTTTCTACTTGACTCAATGGTCAGGAGTTTCTACTTGATTCAATTGTCAGGAGTTTCTACTTGATTCAATTGTCAGGAGTTTCTACTTGATTCAATTGTCAGGAGTTTCTAATCATAGATTAAGGACATGGTGGGCTACTAGCGTGAACAAACCTTGTCCCAACAACAAAGATCCAGGAAATAAAGCGCTGGCAGTGTTTTGATTTAAATAACTCCCTTTTTAAAAAAAAATAACAGGTCACACGTCTTTACAGTAATTAACAGTAATATCAAACATAAGAAGGGGGAGAAAAAATACAGGCTAAACTGGGAATTGGCTTATTTCTTGGGGGTGGCAGCTTTCTTTCAATATTATAGTATTTTTCAATATTTTAATAGCTGCAGAAAAAAACAGCTTCTTAATTAAAACCTTTAATTGATTTATAACTTGAGTACTATTTCAGACAGATAAATGAAATTTCACATGTAAGTAAAAGATCTAATTCTCTGCCTTGAGGCTAGACACGCCCCTCCACCCCACCCCACCGCGATTCAACATTTCGCGGTTTCCATGGCAACCAGTACTGCTATTGACGGCTATATATTATTTTTGTCTATAGTTTAACAACTATAAACATATGAACTTATTAAAAACCCCGAAATGTGTTAAAATATTCAATCCGTGGTGCCTATCCTTAATAATACTAGGCCCCCTACCTTCATTTACATTGTTTTCCTCAGGCAGTGGAGGGACAGATATATATATCATTGCATATATATTCATTGGTGTGATCCTTTTATTTGCTGTCACGTTTGGCGTAACATTTACAATTTATGTACAAGTATGCAGAAAGGACTCGAAGTCGACCCTAGCGTCTGGAACAAACACAGAAGGTCTCTCTTTTTGTCTCGATATCTCTAGCAATACAATACAATACAGTACAGTTGTACAGTACACAACACAACAAAATATAATATAATATAATAATAATAATAATTTTTTTAGCAGAACCGCAGAATGAATTAAGGTTGGCACGGATGGAAAAAGAGGTATGTAGCCATTTAACTATTTCTTTTGTGTCTGTTTTTTTTTTTTGCGTTCTGTTCACATTTTTCTTTGATTTTGTGTTTTCTTTTGTGTTTGCGTTTGTATTTGAATTTGCGTTTGTCCGTTTTTGTTTTCTTTTGTGTTTGTATTTGTGTTTTCGTATGCTTTTGTATTTGTGTTTGCGTTGTGTTTTCTTTTATGTTTCCGCTTATGTTTTTGTTGTGTTTACGTATTGTTTGAGTTTGCGTGTGTTTGCGTTTGTTTTCTTTTGCATTGGTGTTTGTATTTGCTTTGGTGTTTGAGTTTTTTATCTGTTGCCAAATTAATATATATTAAGTATATTAGAGAAACATCTCTGTTCATGATTTGAATTTTAATATTTTTTTTCCGCTTACTAGATACAAGAATGTCAAGACACCAAATCCTCTCTTCAACAGCAACTTGCAATCGCAATAGAAGGCTTAGAAAGAATTGCACAGGGAGGTAGGTGTTATAACTGAATAAATTATTTGTGTCCCGCCCCCACCTGAATTGTGACAGGAAGGCATTCCCATCCCATGTAACAATTTGCAGGTCGCTTGTTACTGCCCTTAATGTTACAGGTCCAGTCTATGATGAGTTACTGCCCTTAATGTTACAGGTCCAGTCTATGATGAGTTACTGCCCTTAATGTTACAGGTCCAGTCTATGATGAGTTACTGCCCTTAATGTTACAGGTCCAGTCTATGATGAGTTACTGCCCTTAATGTTACAGGTCCAGTCTATGATGAGTTACTGCCCTTAATGTTACAGGTCCAGTCTATGATGAGTTACTGCCCTTAATGTTACAGGTCCAGTCTATGATGAGTTACTGCCCTTAATGTTACAGGTCCAGTCTATGATGAGTTACTGCCCTTAATGTTACAGGTCCAGTCTATGATGAGTTACTGCCCTTAATTTTGCAGGTCCAGTCTATGATGAGTTACTGCCCTTAATTTTACAGGTCCAGTCTATGATGAGTTACTTCCCCTAATGTTACAGGTCCAGACTATGATGAGTTACTGCCCTTTATGTTACAGGACCAGTCTATGATGAGTTACTACATTATGACACTTAATGTTACATTGTGTGTGATTGGCCTTACAATTGTTATGTTACGGAATATGCGATGTGTTGTAGGGACAAAACGATACATAGTAGTTACTGGTATAAGGACACAATTTATTAGGTTATGTCCACTTGTGTTGAATTCTTGCCTTATAAATAACGATGTTTATATATATATATATATATATATATATATATATATATATATATATATATATATATATATATATTACGATTTCTAGAACATATTATAGTCGTGATATTTATTTTTAAAATTGTAAGCATAAAGCGACACTAGGCCAATAGCTAGCTTAGCAAACGACTGGTAACTGCTTGCATGTTTCTCGACCAACATTTCCCAAACATCAAGGTATAAGGGGATTCGTGATGCGAACCTAAATCGTTACGTGTTTACATTCAATGTATAGTAGGTTTGGTGCTGCAAACCTAAATCTTGACATAATTACACTGTTGTAGTTAGCTCCCCTAGACTTACTCGTATCCCTCTGTGACAGTAGCGGTTAAGCTTGGACTCCAATAGAATGGGCCATAGAACTGGGACACAAGTCTGGTTTAAAAACCGTATCAGTTTTCGAAACAACACACAATCTTCTTAATAAAAATTGTATACACGTATAAAGTTCTCAAGGTTTTTGAGTGACCGGAATAAAGTACCATTTCCGGAAATCGCGCAAAAGCTGAAACATCCGTAATGGATTATATATATATATATATATATATATATATATATATATATATATATATGTATGTATTTTTTAGTAAAGTGATACTCAAATTACTGGGTTTACTCACATACACAGACACACAAATCACAGATAAAAGTTGTGTTCAGCAACACATACAGACACACAGACACACAGACTCACAAATCACAGATAAAAGTTGTGTTCACCAACTCAGATCTCTGTGTAAAGTGTCAACATTTTGAAAGTTTCTCGATTTCGATCATTCCACAATTACAATGCCACTTCCAGTATGTGATTCAATGTGGCATGTATTAATAGTTAATAGTGACAATTACTACTCATTCACACTCTCCCCTCACCCGATATTACCACCCCGGAGATATTACCACTCGTCCAGTTATGGATAAATTAGGACAAGGGTTAGGTTAGGCTTGTGTTAGGGTTAAATGTAGGTTTAGAGTTTGAGTTAGGGTTAGTTATATGCTTACAGTTTGGGGTTAAGATCAGGGTTCTTCAGCATAAGGGGGGGGGAGGTATTTGACAGGTGGTAATATCCTAGACCCGAAGCTAACCGTATCATTATCATCAACAGGACTAGACTTGCCCAAAACATGAACAACCAAACGTCCCTGTGAGAATTGAAAAAAAACTAGAGCAAGATATTATTTTCCACTAGAGGCTTCTGAAAACACAGTCTCAAATAAATGTTATTGACAATGGTTATGGAGAATGGACAATAGGTATAGATTGAAATAAAGATCCCAATTTTTTCGGCAATTAAATCCTTGTTATTTTGAGTGCTTGGTAGATCTGATTATCGATCATGGTAAACTGTACACGCTACAGTACGGGATTCCTTTTCAACTCATTCGCAAGACATCTGTACCATTTTGAGAATGAAACTTGTGATGGGATACCATGTACTTCTAAACTTTGAACACTACTAGTCCACTGAACCTGATCTCCATGTTTCATACGTTGATAATGTGATGCCAAGATAAAGATTTGAAGACAAAAAGCCAATAATACGTAAATGTGACAAGAATTCAACGCTAGCTACAATGCAGAGCCAAACTTGAATACATGCACAAGATAGCGAGAGCTCCCATGTAGGGATTACATGAAGAAAGAAATATCACCTCATAACGTGAGAGGCAATAAGTTAACTTCAACCCCACAACCTGAACACAGGTTGATAAATCAAAGAAAGACAAAAATCCATGAGTTAAGCATATGTGCAACAGAAAAGATTGATGTTCAGAGAGGACAACATGGGTGATGTCAACCATGTTTGCATGTGTTACAAAACATCACGTGACTGCTTCCAAAAACTCCATTCATAGATGACTATACACTTATAAAGAACATAATTGTGTTCTCATTACTGATATTTTCACTTTCTAATGTACCAGATCAACAAAGAAATAAGAATATTGACATGACTCACAACGCAACCTATTTTCGATAATTTTCCCTTGGCGCCCATAGTGACACAAATGTCCCATGCTGTATCTCAAAAACTATTTAAGACATCGAAAAAAAGTTAACATTATTTAATTCTACGTGTCATTTTACTACTAAATGAGAGCACAGATATCTGAAATCATGCGGCCAATCGTTGTGGTCCTTGACTAATGCGAGACTAGCACTATAAAACAGACATTGACTAATGCGAGACTAGCACTATAAAACATACCTTGACTAATGCCATACTAGCAGTATAAAACAGACCTTGACTAATGCGAGACTAGCACTACAAAACAGACCTTGACTAATGCGAGACTAGCACTATAAAACAGACCTTGACTAATGCGAGACTAGCACTATAAAACAGACCTTGACTAATGCGAGACTAGCACTATAAAACAGACATTGACTAATGCCATACTAGCAGTATAAAACAGACCTTGACTAATGCGATACTAGCACTATAAAACAAACATAGACTAATGCGAGACTAGCACTACAAAACAGACCTTGACTAATGCGAGACTAGCACTATAAAACAGACATTGACTAATGCGAGATAAGCAGTATAAAACAGACCTTGACTAATGCGAGACTAGCACTATAAAACAGACATTGACTAATGCCATACTAGCACTATAAAACAGACATTGACTAATGCGAGACTAGCACTATAAAACAAACATAGACTAATGCGAGACTAGCACTACAAAACAGACCTTGACTAATGCGAGACTAGCACTATAAAACAGACATTGACTAATGCGAGATAAGCAGTATAAAACAGACCTTGACTAATGCGAGACTAGCACTATAAAACAGACATTGACTAATGCCATACTAGCACTATAAAACAGACCTTTACTAATGCGAGACTAGCACTATAAAACAGACGTCGACTAATGCGAGACTAGCACTATAAAACATACCTTGACTAATGCGAGACTAGCACTATAAAACAGACCTTGACTAATGCGAGACTAGCACTATAAAACAGACATTGACTAATGCGAGACTAGCATTATAACAAAATAGCTTGACAAATGCGAGACTAGCAGTATAAAACAGACATTGACTAATACGAGACTAGCAGTATAAAACAGACCTTGACATCGCCTAAGACCTGGGATACGAAGCTGACCGCTGGCTCTAGGGGGTGTAGGGTCCCGTCCTCTTGCTCTGATATGTGTAGGATGACGGAGTAGCCCTGGCCGTATTTGTTCTTCAGATGCTGCGGGCTGCCCAGACACAGCATCCGACCTTTCTTGAAGATGGCGATCTTCGTGCATAGCGCTTCACATTCCTCCATGCTGGAAGTAACAGGGGGGGGGCGTTGTGTACACACTTTCATATTGTCAAATGGGCGGCCCGTTTTTTACACACTTTAACATTGTCAACTGGTGAGGTGTTTGCCTACCTGAACAAGATGACGTTTATGGAGGTGTCAGCCAAAGAAGACACCAACATACAGGCTCTCTTAAGTACATTCATCTAGCCCGGGGGTGGGCAGTTGGTTTTTTTTGGGGGGGGGGGGGCGATGCTTTGTCCACAAAGCTCGAATAGTTTCCTTAACCACCATTTCATAGCCAGCTGAAAGTGTTACGCATGAACGATCTAACCATGACACATGCGACGGTGTGGTTATGTAACTTCTTATTGATTATGCAACAGTGTAACCATGCATGATGTAACCGCTTGATTATGTGAAACATGTAACCACTTGATTATGTGAAACATGTAACCACTTGATTATGTGACATTGTAACCATGTAGCCACTTAATTATGTGTGAACCATGTAACCATCTATCATTACTTGCCATATCATATGATATCTATACATACAATAAACAGCTAACGCTGATAAGATTTTGTGGGTTTTTTTCTCTAGTGTATAAAAGTAAGCTGACCAACTTTCAGTGTTTGTTAGCTGACCTACATAGAGCGTCCAAATGCTAGTTGACCTACATAAAGTTTCACTGACCTACATAGAATGTTTAAATGTTAGCTGACCTACATAGATCTATCTACTAAAGTACTACAATAACATAACTGAGTTGATAAAACCTCTAATTTATATTGCCTGTACGTTACCTGCATAACAGCCAAGTTACCTGTATACGCATATTGTGCTATGTGCATCAAAACATATTGAGTAGCAAAGAAAATCTCCACAATAACAAGATTCTGAAATCTGGGCACCACGGGTCAATACCCAGTCACGTGACCGTACTGTGAGAACTCTTTGAGTCACGTGACACTAATTGAAATCCATAGAGTGCCACCCACCTGCTCATATAGAACATTAAGGTCTTTAACTTGTATAACATGTCTACACACAGAGTCGAGATAACATGAAACTGTTGCCGTCAGTACACTTGTGTCAGTTTTTAGGCAAAGTTTAAACTGTTGCCGTCAGTACACTTGTGTCAGTTTTTAGGCAAAGTTTAAACTGTTGCCGTCAGTACACTTGTGTCAGTTTTTAGGCAAAGTTTTAACTGTTGCCGTCAGTACACTTGAGTCAGTTTTTAGGCAAAGTTTAAACTGTTGCCGTCAGTACACTTGAGTCAGTTTTTAGGCAAAGTTTAAACTGTTGCCGTCAGTACACTTGTGTCAGTTTTTAGGCAAAGTTTAAACTGTTGCCGTCAGTACACTTGAGTCAGTTTTTAGGCAAAGTTTAAACTGTTGCCGTCAGTACACTTGAGTCAGTTTTTAGGCAAAGTTTAAACTGTTGCCGTCAGTACACTTGTGACAGTTTTTAGGCAAAGTTTAAACTGCTGGCAATGTCCGTCGGTACAACTTCCCCACACAAATTTTAGCCCAAGTGAAAACTGTGAGAGCTGGCACAGGTGACCGTCCCCCCCCCCTTCCCCCCCCTCACACAGTGTACTCAGACAGTTCCTGCCCGCCCCCCACACAGTGTACTCAGACAGTTCCTGCCCGCCCCCCACACAGTGTACTCAGACAGTTCCTGCCCGCCCCCCACACAGTGTACTCAGACAGTTCCTGCCCCCCCACACACAGTGTACTCAGACAGTTCCTGCCCCCCCCCCCACACAGTGTACTCAGACAGTTCCTGCCCGCCCCCCACACAGTGTACTCAGACAGTTCCTGCCCCCCCCCCCCCCCACACAGTGTACTCAGACAGTTCCTGCCCCCCCCCCCACACAGCGTACTCAGACAGTTCCTGCCCCCCCACACACAGTGTACTCAGACAGTTCCTGCCCCCCCCCCCCACACACAGTGTACTCAGACAGTTCCTGCCCCCCCCCCCCACACACACAGTGTACTCAGACAGTTCCTGCCCGCCCCCCACACAGTGTACTCAGACAGTTCCTGCCCCCCCCCCACACACACAGTGTACTCAGACAGTTCCTGCCCGCCCCCCACACAGTGTACTCAGACAGTTCCTGCCCGCCCCCCCCCCCCCCACACACAGTGTCCTCAGACAGTTACTGCCCGCCCCCCACACAGCGTTCTCAGACAGTTTCTGAACTTAGAGTTAAGCATCCAGTACACGGCTAGGTTCATGGAACAGTTCAAGGTGCCGAAAAAGTCGGACACGTCCCAGATGAAGCCATTCAAGTGCCGGTAGTCGCCGCCGTTAAGGCCGGGGATGAGGTGGTGGGCCGCTAGTCCGATAAACCTGGGCACATTGCAGGCCGTCATGACCAGGGCTAAAAATAGCACGACCTTGACCAGACGCTTCTCGCGGTCAGAAAGTTTTGAGAGTTTGTGAGACGCCGGGAGGTTGGAGTCATTGCCGAGCTGACGCACGGAGTCAGTATTGATCTGACGCACGGTTGTGGATGATTTTAATGAGTAGATCATCCAGAAGGTGCAGACAAGGAGGATAACTTGTGAGAGGATGGACAGACTTACGGCCCCTAGCGTGTCGATGATCACTTCCGCTTGTGCGGACTGGTCGTTGTAGTCCACGGCTAGGACACGTTTATAAATAGACGAGCTATGATTGGTCAGAATCTCAGAGCTGTTCATCCAATCCAATCGCTGGATAACGTACACCGGAAGAACGAGTCCGATATGCGCAATGTAGATCACCATGACAACGAACACACAGCGCGCGCGCGTGAACATGGCCTTGACCTTGAAAGGGGAGACGACGCAGAAGCACCTCTCGACGGCGACCATGGTGGTGACCCAGCAGGAGATGTAGTAGCAGGCGTACCGCAGCCAGCCAATGGTGAACGTGCCCAGGTTCCACAGATCCAGGGGGCTGGCCGGGCACAGGTAGTGGGCCAGGAAACACGAGGACACGCCCAGCTGGAGGCACGTGATCAGGAGGTCGGTCAAGGACAAGCTGAACACGCCCACGGCCATGCTGTTGTTGAGGCCGAGCCTGAGGAAGACCCGGATGTTGATGACGTTGCTGACCAGCCCGAGGCCGGCAACGACCAGGTGGACGGGGATGGTCAGCGCGAGCTCCCAGCGCTTCAGCTGGTCAAGGTCAAGCAGTTCGGCCTCGCTCGCCATCTTGGACGTTAATCTGTTGTATTTTTGGGGAGGGGGGTGGGAGACGGCTTATCCGATGGTTAGGATTAAGGCCAAGTCATTTGCAGGACAACTCTGTCAGAGTCTGGCAGGATTTTTGCGAAATTAAAAACAGGGTTTTAGTGCATAGGCGAGAACTGGGCGATGGTCTACTGGACGATGGTCTATTGGACGATGGTCTACTGGGCGATGGTCTACTGGACGATGGTCTACTGGGCGATGGTCTACTGGACGATGGTCTACTGGACGATGGTCTACTGGACGATGGTCTACTGGGCGAACTTAATGCTTTCGATAGACCAAGGTGTATTAGATGAGATGATATTACCTTTTTAAAAGTTGATCGACTTGAAAGATGCCGTCATAATTCTAATCTAAAAAAAAACACTCTTGTCTTTTTTACTATGGAATAGATTTATTTAAATTGTTTTTAACGTTTTTACTTTTTATGAGTAAAAATGTGGCTATTTCAATCCACACCTTGTAGCCAAATATAAATAGATCATTAGATTTTCATGACTGCTGAGTAGTCATGAAGTGTTATGTGAGAATATTGTGTTTTTGTAATTAAGCCTAGCCTACTCCATTAAAATGTTGGTAAAAAAATTGTTTAAGGATATCGTTTGTTATTATAAAACCTGAGCTCAGTCTTATACACACGCATCTACTAAAATGTGGTTTTAACCACACACACACGCATCAACTAAAATGTGGTTTTAACCACACACACACGCATCTACTAAAATGTGGTTTTAAAGCCACACACACATCTACTAAAATATGGTTTCAACTCCACACAATTATGTACTAAAATATAGTTTTAACGTCACACACACGCATGTACTATGTCTTAAAATCTCTATTCGTATATTATATAAAACATTTTATTTTAAATAACGTGGTCGATGAAAAAGATAAGTATTAACAAAGCAAAGTGGTCATATAAATGTGTATAGCTAAATCACCAACGCTACCACTGATAAATTACAGTTTTAATTAGTTTTAATGAGTCTTAATTTACCCAGCCCACGTATTTAGTACTGACCTTGAAATGTTAAACTCACCCCCCCCCCACGTCATCAGATCTAATGGTACTAGTCGATCAATACTAATTAGTGATAATTGTAATATATTGACAAACGCCGCTATTAATGATAATTATACAAACTAATTGCCTACAATTATGACTATAAGTATTTTTATGTAAACTGTAATAGCATGACTTGTGCCAACTGTAATAAGAGCGTCTACAGGTAAAGCAAATATCTTACATGAAGCTAACTGCTTATACAACATACATGTCAATAGGCTGGATGTAAATAACTGAACAACTATAATTAGAAGTGAGTCATTATTCGATGATCGTCAATGTGTACTCGATGCTGAGTGGATGATCATCTATGTATCCTACATTCCGATTGGCTGTTGATCTGTATGTACTGAGTTCTGATTGGCTAATGAAAAGAATGGTTCTCACAACTTAGAAAAGTCTCAAAAAGTGAGCAAGAGATGCCTAGTCCACGCCTAATCCATGTGTTATGGAATAACTTGGATTATTTATTAATCAATAACCTTTTTTTTTTCAATTATATTTTTCCTAAATGTATTCCAAAAGTTACATGAAATTAATGAGAAATGTAAACGAGTCTATCAAAGACAGACGACTTGTGCTCATTCTCGGGCAGAACCAGGTAAAGCAGACGATCAGACTGCGTTTTTGATGTTGTTTTTGTTTATTTTTGTAACAATGTAAATTATGCATCAAGTCTAACATGTAAAGTATCGACACAATTTTATTTTAACACATATGTATATCCAGCTTGACCGTTAGATAAAAACCACAACCCGACATACATTGTTGACGCTTTATATCAAATCACGCAACTTGTGATGTCAATAAAACATGTGTTAAACCCAAATAGAAAATACTCAGATATATCCTTACATTTTATTGTTTTTCTAATAGAGTTGCCTAGACTTACTGCTTCATATTAACATAGATAAGTTTTAGCTATATATATATATATATATATATATATCAGGGGCGTAGCGAGGGGGGGGGCGGGGGGTGCGGACCGCACCGGGTGACACCATTTAGGGGGGTGACACCAAGGCAAAAAAATAGCAAAATATATAGAGAAAAACTCGAGCGGGGGGTGCAAATCGAAAGTTTGAGGGGGGGGGTGCAAATCGAAAGTTTGAGGGGGGGGGGGTGCAATTTGAAAGTTTGTCCCTGGGAAGGGTCTCTATGCCTCTGGGGGGTGGCACCATTAAGTGCCGCACCGGGTGACACCCGACCTCGCTACGCCACTGATATATATATATATATATATATATATATATATATATATATATATATATATATATATATATATATATATATATACAATTGTGGAGAGGTGCGGTCGCCCCAACGCTACCACGCTGGAATTATTTTTTAAATACAAATACAACTAAAACAAACCAGAGTGAGAGTTTTGTAAAAAAAAAAGTTATTTTGAACACAACAGAAGATAAACGATGTTTATCTGGCAACCAACAAGTGACAGGTAGATAACTCGTACGGCAGTCGGTCTTGTTCTGTGCGAATTGACTACGACAGGCCTCACATTTCAGCTTCCTACGGATTAACTGGCCCTAATCACTGGCAACATTCGATAACAGACTAACTGGACCTACGACTAACTGGACCTACAACAGACGAACTGGACCTGCAGACTACAGTCTAATTGGACCTACAGACTACAGTCTAATTGGACCTACAGACTACAGTCTAATTGGACCTACAGACTACAGTCTAATTGGACCTACGACTACAGATTAGCTGGACCTACGACTACAGACTAACTGGACCCACGACAACAGACTAACTGGACCTACGACTACAGACTAACTAGACCTGCGGCCTACGACTATACAAAATCTACATCAAACAAAGATTGCGCTACAGCTAGACGCTTATTGTACCTACCACTCGACTGGACTAACCCTCGACTGGACTACACCTCGACTGGACTACACCTCGACTGGACTACACCTCGACTCGACTACACCTCGACTGGACTACACCTCGACTGGACTACACCTCGACTGGACTACACCTCGACTGGACTACACCTCGACTGGACTACACCTCGACTGGACTACACCTCGACTCGACTACACCTCGATTGGACTACACCTCGACTGGACTACACCTCGACTGGACTACACCTCGACTGGACTACACCTCGACTGGACTACACCTGGACTGGACTACACCTCGACTCGACTACACCTCGACTGGACCACCTCGACTGGACTACACCTCGACTGGACTACACCTCGACTCGACTACACCTCGACTGGACTACACCTCGACTGGACTACACCTCGACTGGACTACACCTCGATTGGACTACACCTCGACTCGACTACACCTCGACTCGACCACCTCGACTGGCCTTTGACTACAACCGTAGACTAATTTCCCCTACAACATCAACTCGACGTGCATCAGCTGCTGATCCTGTTTGTTCAGCTTTCATTCATGTACTTATTTATTTGTGTGTGTAAGACACACAGGAGATTGTTACGACCCCTTTTCTCTAATCCTTTCGAACTAGTCAGGGAATCGTAAACAAGAAGAAGAAAATAAAAATAGATAAACGCCAACGTCAGTGATCTCTATTTATTGCCACAAAATAAAACACTTAAAATTAACCCGCCACCACATGGAACACAATAGGAAAAATACACAACTATCTACAACAACTAAAGTCCTTAATTCGACTGCCCTACTTGTCCCAAATTGTCAAGCCTAGCCTAGGTCTACTACATGTCGTGGCTTTCCACTAGCCCACAGAGACGACCCATGTCTGTCTCCTCTAGACCTAGCTATCCGAGACGAGTCCGTCCGTCTCCGAGTGTGTCCCGAGTGTGTGTGTCCGCTAGCCTCCTGTCTACCCTCCTAAAGTACTCGTCCCCCGTGCGTCACCGTGGGAACGATTTTAATTAGGGCCTGATCCTAGGTCAGATCCGTCCATGACGGTCCCCTCGGTCCCGTCCGATCTGGAAGGTTTTCCCAGCCGTAAATCACGGGCTGTTGGCCACGTTAATAGCTGGGACCCCAAGACACCAGGTATGCACCGCCCACAGCGTGGAACCCAATCCGCGGTGTGGCCGACACGGCCCAAAGGTTCACACGGCCAGCACTGGTCAGCCTCTGACCACCGCCAGGTTGATGGATGAGCGTGAGATCGCTACCCCAACATACGGGTCAGCCCAGGTCAAACACCAGGTGGTCGTAACAATATGACATAGACAAAAACACATTTTAATGTGAAAAATTATCTCGTCCCTCACCGAACAAAGCAGAAAGGTCATTGGATGGTATTAACATGTCATATTCCATTTAATGGCATTAGTATGTCATATGACAATGAACAAGTCGGGAGTTGACTTTTACATTTCTAAATCTGGAGCATCAATTATGGGCATTTTAGAAAACATTTCTCAGAAAAAGTGAAAAAACACTTAAATAGTAAAGTATACACCAAAATGACAGAGAAAGAAAAAAAAGTGTGATATTTATCGTCTTGTGTGAAGAAACAGTGAACAAAGAAAAGTATAAGGGGTAGTGAATATGTGACCATCAAATGTGACATCTAGGACTCGTATCATACGCCATGTAACGTTATACAACATGTTCATAGAACCAAAGAACACCTTCATACATAGTTGTGTAACATATGTTGGAGTCATCTCTCTTCATTTTAACAAATTAATAAAAATATTTCTAAACAGATTTTTGTGACTTTTTTTCTGTGACTTTATTTCTGATACTTTTTTCCGATAAAATTTTTCCACTGTTACTATTTTCTTTGACTTTTTTCCTAGCAAAAACTGACTTTTTTCTGGGTTTTTTTCCTGTGACTTTTTAGCGCAATTTCCATTCTGGAGAATTGCGTCTATTAACTCGTCATTTCTGGGAATGGATGGATGTCCGCAGCTTTAAGTCGCTTTAAGTCGTATCTCCTCCTCAACGAAGCAATATCGCGCAGATCTCGCGAGGGGGCGGGGACTAGCTCTGCTCGTGTGGTTTAATTTATAATTTATATGAGAGTGATAGGGAGTTACAATCACAAGGTTTTGTTTCGATAGGCCTAATCATTTGTTCACATTTTTAAAAACAAACTTGATCACTATCTATTTTTAGACTATTATTTGCCCTCAAGGTTCTTTGGCCAAACAAACATGTCTTCCATGGAAGGTTTCATTCCTGATAGACCTGGATAGATAATGTTTTAAAATTATAATTACTTTACGACAGAGCTATTTTTAGATAACACTAGAATACCCGTCATCCGTTGGATAACTGTGGGTTTCGGGGGTCATCCATAAAAAAACATCACGTCTGTCACTCAGAGCATAGCGACCCTTCCCGGCGCCCGGGGACAAACTTTTCGATTTTAACCCCCCCCCCCCCCCCCAAGATTTCGATTTTCAACCCCCCCCCTCAAACTTTTGATGTGCACCCCCCCCCCCCCCACTCAAACTTTCGATTTGAGCCCCCTCAACCTTTCAATTTATTTTTCCAAACCATTTTGGCGCCCCAACATATGTCCCCCCGCCCCCCCCCCTTCCCCCCTCCAACCCCCCCCCCCCCCCGCCTCCCCTCCCGCCCCCCCCCCCTCCTCGCTACGCTACTGCAGTGTCACTTATCGTCACAAAAAACAGACCCCACATTCAAAAATATGTTTCTTATCTGTTAAAAACACCAAAAAACACCGATTTCGGACTATCCCTTCATATACTGACGTCACATGTGACCTACTCAACTCTACTTCACCTGCCCAGTGTCCCGCCAAGTCTCAGACAACATGTTTTTATCGTTTAAAAAACGATTCCAGCCGAGCATGTCTCTGACCACACTATCCTTTCATATGCTTAGGACAAAGAAACAGATGAACTCTACTTCACCTGCCCTGTATCCTGCCAAGTTCAGATAGGCAACTTTATCATTTACATCTAAAAAAAAAATTGAAAAAAAATATCATTGACATATTGGTCTAGAACCTGTGCCACCCGCATGAGAGCGGACTACGCTACCAACTTAGCTATTTACTCGTGACGTCACAAATGAATTTTTATACTATACTTTTGAGTCTCCGCGCATAGATCTAGATCTAAGTCTAGTAGTAGTAACTTTCAAATTAAATTTTATCTTAAATTAGCCAAACAAAGATTTATATAAAATAATTAAGGCCTGAAATAGATTCTAGATGTATTAAGGCCTGAAATAGATTCTAGATGTAGAATTTACATTAAGTCTAGATCTAGAATTTACATTGAGTCTAGTGACCTAGATTCTAGATCTAGGCTAGATCTAGATCTAGGCTAGATTCATAACTTTCCTTCGACAGCTGATCTTTAGATCTAGAGAAATTTATTGTAAAACTAAATGAAAAAAGACAGTTTAAAATTGATATAAGTGTTGGAACGTAATAAATACAGCAAACGGACGTATTGTTAAAGTTATGACCGACAGAAAATTAGATTTAGAACGCGTTAAACTTTTGAATGGGAACACAATTTTCTTCGATAGACGCCGCCATTTTATTGTAAACAAAAACCTGTGACGTCACTATTCCCACAAAGTTTAGTCAATGTTTTAACATTTTAAAAAAATGAGTTACTCTACGTATGAATAAATCAATAAATTAATTAACGTCTTTAAATAAATGTGTGATTAACAGTCTGTCTGCATTAAAAAATTATTCTCTACCTACATACTATTTTACAGCTCTCCAGATAGAGTCGAACATATCACAATACTCGATCGGACAAACAAACAAAAAAATAAATATTCAAACATGTAAACAAACTTGACTTTTAGTAGTATTAGATAAGGAAATTGCGCTTAAATTGTCACTAGACTTTTTAATAACTTGTTTTCCGTTCACCATTTTACAGAGTTTCTTCCAGGCATCTCTTCGGGGGGGGCGAAGCCCCCTCGAAAAAAATTTACCGCCCCCCCCCCCCCCCCCCCCCCGAACGAAATGAAATTTATATAATTTATATATATAAAATATATACTTTTAACAGTGTCCGCCCCCCCCCCCCGAAGAAAGTCTACCGCCCCCCCCCCCCCCGAAAATTTCAAGTGCCCCCCCCCCGGAGAAAAAAGTCTGGAAGACCACTTAAATTAAATCCCCCTCCCATCACCACCCACCCCAGGCTACTCGTTTCTCATTGATTTGCAAAGGGTATTATTAATTTTATAACTGACAGACTCTTTTATAGTCTTTATACTTTATAGATTTATAATCTAGATAGTAGAACTGTCTTCAGTCTTCTTTTAATTGTTTTAATTTCATTGAATCTACAAAAAAGGTTAGAATATATTACTTTGAGTAGTTTTCCTTTTTATAAAAATTCGGTGCTAGAGTCTGGTAGAAAAATGTATTTCATTGAGAAAGATAATCGACGAAATTTTACAAAAGCGAAATTCCCCGGTTGCCGTTCTTTAAAACAAGATGGTGGTGATGCCGACAACGATACGGTGAGAGATCAAATAAATCTAGATTCTAGAATCTAGATCTAGATTTTGTAAACACTTAGATCTGGCCTATCGCTCGTTCTCTAGATGTGAAGAATCTATTCTAGATTACCAGATCTAGTAATAGACTAGTATAATTATTAATTCAGTTAAAATTAAGCAGAATCTATAAATAGATCTATATAAACTAGGCGCCTTTTACGTCCGAGAAATTGGTTGAATCCAGATTTTTTGGCCTTTTATGTGTCTTTGACCACCTGCTTACGTCAAGCCCACGTGGTATCAGCTATGGTGTTCTTCCTATGGTTTACGGTGGGGTGGGTATTTTAGTGCTATTTCTGGAGTCACCAGAGGCGAAGCTAGTCATCTCGTCTTGCCACCTGCAAGGAAAACCTTGCGGAGATCAAGCGGGATTTCTAGTGACATCATCCCATGGCCCGGATTTAGCCCTAAAGTACACACCCCAGAACACTCTAATGCTAAACACTAAGCTTGCCGATTACTACAGGGATTTTTGTTTAAGTATTTTTGGTTAATCTACTTTCAATGTTTAGGTCTATATTATCCTCATTTCAAGCCGTCCAAAAAGGTTTTCAACCCCCAACCAATCAAACGCGAGGTTTCTCGTGTTTTGGTTGGCGGCTGACAACACGCAATGCGTTTTTGGAGCTAAAATGGGCAGATAAAGTATCATAAAGCCTTTTTTTTACGTTTTTAAAATTGGCCTGAAAAAAAATGACTTATAAAAAGGGGCCGTTTTGAGACCATGTCAACACGTGACGGTGTCAAACCACGTGAGATCTCGGTCATGCATGAGTGGTTTTTGCATGTTCTCGTGAACTAAATACCAGGTTCCTGACTAATTGGAATCGTGAAAATAACGACCCTAGGGGAATGGCTTTTGAAGATTATTAAATAAAAATCAATGTATTGGGTACATGTGTTGGAAGTGCTTATTTTGGTCAACAGTGATCTAAATTTAGATTTTATTTGTAGGCAAATCTATTTTTTTGAACTTTGGAACAGAATTTTTACTGATTTCGGAAACATAATTTACTGTCTAAATGAAGCTAACTGAAACTGAATTAATGAAATAAGCGTTTGTTGTAGCATCTACCTTAAGAACATATAAGCACAATGTTTGTTTCCTTGAAAGCCCATTCTTGGAAATAAGTGTATCATTTATTTTGTTTGCCATTTACAGAAAAAAGCACTACCTCATTTAAGTATTAAACAGGCCAGATAAACAATCTATATTTAATTCAGTAGTTGCTTTCAATAAATAATGTGATTCTTGTCCAGATTTTTAACCTAAACTAAAAATGTGTTTTATCAACTTTCTTTATGTTTGTGTTTACTTTTTGCAATTTTAGGCAACTATGTTTTCCATAATTAACTTTAATTTAAAAATACCTATTCAATTACCAGCTCTCTATATTAAATTTTGCTATTTAGTTTGTCCTTGATATAAATGTTAATATAATTTGATATGTAAAGAATATATTTATCTAATTTAAATTTTTTCTTAAAGTGTTTTAAAGTAACAAAAAATCTGGTGATGGAGTTGGTCCAGAACTTTTGGGTGGAATCAGAGATGCTTTTAAAACAGCCGGTGTGCTGAAAAAAAAAGATGTCCAGCATCTTGCGCAGCTGGACAGGTTGACCAAGGGAACTTACTCAGTGCAGCTTCACCAAACAAAGCAACAAAACTGGCCACAGGTTTGACTGAGAACTTACTCAGTGCAGCTTCACCAAACAAAGCAACAAAACTGGCCACAGGTTGGACTGAGAACTTACTCAGTGCAGCTTCACCAAACAAAGCAACAAAACTGGCCACAGGTGTGACGGTAAAACCGTTTAGGCTTACATATATTTTATTCTTCCACCACCCTCTACCGGCTCTATTACTCTCCCCACCCCCCTACAACTACGTACATTCTTATCTTTCGTCCCCCTCACAGGCTCCTCTCTAGTTGGCTAGATTGTCCACGTGACACACCGCCAATGTTTTAATGCATATAAGGGGATGCAACAAAGGGATTCTCGCACTCTTCCAGCACTGAGCTCAGCTGGTGGTGTCGCACGCGGCGTTGGGGCCGTCGGCCCGACCTCCACGTGTTTTCTCTGGGTTTGGTTTTACTAATTATTTCTTACTTTTACTTAACTTTACTTTTTATATGCATATTTGATTAACAGTGTAACAAGGAGTTTTAATAAATACTATATATAAATATCATCTTGCTGTCATGTATTTTTACATAAACACTTTACATTGTTACTTTACATTGTGACAGTCGATAACTTACCTGATTTACGTAACTAAACTTTACACTGTCCGTGTCTTAGCACACAAGGCATTTAAATACTTATTTGACCTAAGCTATTCCTGCCTGTGACGTAATTCCACGTGGCAGTTGAGTAGATATTTCAGTACCTTTTGTCCTACTTTTATCCTGCACGTGTATCAGCCACGGAGCAGTAGATATAATATTATATACTGCATCATTCTATTTTACTACAGGCCGTAAACTGCGGGCATTGAGTTGACCCGTAGTCATCGGACCTGCTATTTTATTTTATTCACCGGCCGTAAACCCTTGCCTGAGACAAGAGGTCATCGGACCTGGTAAAACCCATTATTATTCAAATAAGGCTGTAAACTTTGGGCATTGAATTGACCCTTAGTCATCAGACCTTAATGATATTACCTCTAGTAAAACTATACTAGAATCTATATTCCCGGTAAAGAAGCGGCGCAGACCCTCTTACCGGTTGAATACCAGCCTTTTACTGATTATCCCAATTCATACGCTACCAATATTAACACTTTATTTCCCAATACCGTTAACAACAGGTTGGACTGAGAACTTACTCAGTGCAGCTTCACCAAACAAAGCAACAAAACTGGCCACAGGTTGGACTGAGAACTTACTCGTGCAGCTTCACCAAACAAAGCAACAAAACTGGCCACAGGTTGGACTGAGAACTTACTCAGTGCAGCTTCACCAAACAAAGCAACAAAACTGGCCACAGGTTGGACTGAGAACTTACTTAGTGCAGCTTCACCAAACAAAGCAACAAAACTGGCCACAGATTGGACTGAGAACTTACTCAGTGCAGCTTCACCAAACAAAGCAACAAAACTGGCCACAGGTTTGACTGAGAACTTACTCAGTGCAGCTTCACCAAACAAAGCAACAAAACTGGTCACAGGTTTGACTGAGAACTTACTCAGTGCAGCTTCACCAAACAAAGCAACAAAACTGGCCACAGGTTGGACTGAGAACTTACTCAGTGCAGCTTCACCAAACAAAGCAACAAAACTGGCCACAGGTTTGACTGAGAACTTACTCAGTGCAGCTTCACCAAACAAAGCAACAAAACTGGTCACAGGTTTGACTGAGAACTTACTCAGTGCAGCTTCACCAAACAAAGCAACAAAACTGGCCACAGGTTGGACTGAGAACTTACTCAGTGCAGCTTCACCAAACAAAGCAACAAAACTGGCCACAGGTTGGACTGAGAACTTACTCAGTGCAGCTTCACCAAACAAAGCAACAAAACTGGCCACAGGTTGGACTGAGAACTTACTCAGTGCAGCTTCACCAAACAAAGCAACAACACTGGCCACAGGTTGGACTGAGAACTTACTCAGTGCAGCTTCACCAAACAAAGCAACAAAACTGGCCACAGATTGGACTGAGAACTTACTCAGTGCAGCTTCACCAAACAAAGCAACAAAACTGGCCACAGGTTTGACTGAGAACTTACTCAGTGCAGCTTCACCAAACAAAGCAACAAAACTGGCCACAGGTTGGACTGAGAACTTACTCGTGCAGCTTCACCAAACAAAGCAACAAAACTGGCCACAGGTTGGACTGAGAACTTACTCAGTGCAGCTTCACCAAACAAAGCAACAAAACTGGCCACAGGTTGGACTGAGAACTTACTCGTGCAGCTTCACCAAACAAAGCAACAAAACTGGCCACAGGTTGGACTGAGAACTTACTCAGTGCAGCTTCACCAAACAAAGCAACAAAACTGGCCACAGGTTGGACTGAGAACTTACTCAGTGCAGCTTCACCAAACAAAGCAACAACACTGGCCACAGGTTGGACTGAGAACTTACTCAGTGCAGCTTCACCAAACAAAGCAACAAAACTGGCCACAGGTTGGACTGTAGAGGAACACACCCCACCTCCATCCACATGTTCTGTTGCCCCAATTTCCCTGGCAGGGGTGGGAAGGGAACTGAAATTGTCAGAATACAACCCTACCAGTGCCCTGACCTTGAAGAATGACAACCCCACCAGTACCCTGACCTTGAAGAATGACAACCCTACCTGTGCCCTGACCTTGAAGAACAACAACCCTATCCATGCCCTGACCTTGAAGAATGACAACCCTACCAGTGCCCTGACCTTGAAGAATGACAACACTACCAGTGCCCTGACCTTGAAAAATGAGGTAGAGCAAACAACTGGGTCTAAAGGTTTTATGACTTCAAATGACCTAAGAGAAAATACAGGCACCCGAACCAAATATTCTGAAATCTCTATCTACCCTACTAGGCTTATCTAACTAACTATTGTCCGGTCAGTGCAAGCCCGGATAAACCCAGACTGGTTAATAACCTAACCTTAGTCTAAATAATGAAAACAAAAAAAGCTTTAACAATATAATAAAATTTATTAAACAAAATATGGAACCAAAAGTTATTATAAAAAAAAAACTAGAATCTAGATCTAGACAAAATAAAACACTCAAGACATACAAGACAAACAGAACTCAACGAAACAAAACACCCAATCTCGGACCACCGTCACCACATAAACGTGACACAGAAACTCTTCAACACACAGGCCTCGACATTCCAGCAGAATGTCCCTCCCTGTCCACACACCAAAAGACAGAGTTGAACCCGCCGGAAATCGACTTCCACACGCCTCACACACTACACGTAAACAAATAGTCCCTAATTCACGGATAACAAACCAAACGCCACGAAACATGCAACAGAAATATATCAAAAGACACTTAATATAAACAATGACAACAATATAAACGAAATATATACAAACTAGCTATAAACAGGGACATAAACAGTGAGACAGCGGCGCCATAATACGGGACTAGACAACTAAAAACTACGAACAATTTACGACATGAAACGAAACGATACATTCGCCTTCTAAGTTACAAATAATAATAATACACTCCAGCCGCTCACATACACGCCCCTTAAAGCTTGCGGTCACCGCAAGCTAACAAACCTGAAAAAAATCAGCCCACAGGGCACAATCATAAATGTTACAAAAAAACAAAAAAACTTTGCCAAAAAACACAGCCCACAGGGCACAATCACAATTTTTGCAAAACACAATTTTGAAAGAACTTGCAAAAAAATCAGCCCACAGGGCACAATCATAAATGTTACAAAAAACAAAATCCTGCAAAAAAATCAGACGATGTGGCTGTAGCAGCCGGCGGTACAACTTTGACCGGCCTTGGGGAGGGCGGTTGAGCCTTGGGAGGCACATATCTCATAATCTGTGTGCTGGCCACCCGGCGGGTGCCAGAAGGGCCATCTTTCTTTTTAATGGCGTAACCTCCGCCGGTGATCGGAGGTAATTCGACCACGACATGAACTGTCGGACCGTCCAGGTCTGCCATTTTGCGTCTGCCTAGTGGGGGTTGTCTCAGAAGGACCAGGTCGCCTATGGCCAGTTCAGCTACAGGTGCCTTTTTGACCTGTTTGTCCTTCTTGCTTGACTCTGTCTGGGGGCATGCCCCAGCACCACCACCCGGTACCTTAATTAAGGATGGGTTAGGTGGAACCATTGCCTCTAGTTCCTCAGATTGGTCCACCTTTACACTGGTTATGCTGGCGCGTAGGCAGGATGTTGGGCCTGATACCACTGACGGATCTGGGTGAAAAGGTTGGTCTAATGGCTGTACCACCTTGTCGTCCTTCATTCTGGGGTCTCCTTCCGTCGCCTGCATGGTTGGTACACCCTTGGCAGGCACCAGAGTCCTTTCGCGGGGGCGTAGGACCTTGTCCCCTCGCCATACCTTCGGTGTCACTTGATTCCCTTTGGGCTCATATTTCTTTGCCATATGGCAATGACGGGCGAGGTGACCCCTCTGGTGACAGTTATAGCAGCCCTTTGATTGGACCTCCGTGCGCTTGCGAGGTGCTTGGCGCACATTGGACAATTTGGTGTCCCGCGTAAAGTGCTTCAGCAGAGCAGCTATCTGCTCTGTGAGCCTGTTGACTTTGTCCTCCAGCTTGGACCTGAACGAACATTTTTCGATTGGCCTGGCATTTATTGCTGCCACGTAGGCAGGTTCAGCAAGAGGGTCCTCGTCTCCAGACCATCGAATGGCCGCATCCCGTATGGCCAGGAAGGGGATCTTAGGGTCCCGGAAAATCAGCTCGTGCAGATGGCGTCTGACTCTGGCCTGGCCCAGGTTTTCCACGAACTGGTCTCGAAGAAACCCTGCATCAGTGTGGGACCTGCAGGGCACTCTGCCTCGTAACCAGGGTCTTGAAGGCCCTGTGCAGTCGGTGCGAGTAGGCCCTCACCGACTCGTGTTGGCCCTGTACAACCATCTGAAACTGGGCCATGAGCTGCGGTACTCTCCTCTTCTCGCCGTACACCTCTCTGAGGAGCCTGAGGGTGGCTTCTGGGTCATGCTGCAGGTCATCACCCCTGCAGCTCAGCTCCTCTCTCACCGCTTCCCCCAGGTACTGCCAGAGGAGGTCCTTCCTCTCTTCTACTGAGAGGTCTCCCCTGGCCCTCCAGAGGGACTGGACCTCTTTGATGAACCGGTCCACCTCATAGCCATGGCTGTCCCCATGAAACTTCCTGATGAGGATCTCCCTGGGTGGAACGAGGATGATGGTTGGTGCCACCTCAGCCATCTCGTCCGAATTGGGTGTTTTAAACAACAAACGGTTCCTACACTAAACAAAAACTAAACACAAATGGTTCCATAAAGGGCCTATCAAGAAAAAAATTTATCTAAGCTACACTAGCCCTAACAGAAAAACAAAAATTTAACTAGACTAAAGCACTGACCCCACTCGTGCTACCAATTTGTAAGCCCTGCTAGGTGGGGGGGGGGATACCTAAAATCTCTATCTACCCTACTAGGCTTATCTAACTAACTATTGTCCGGTCAGTGCAAGCCCGGATAAACCCAGACTGGTTAATAACCTAACCTTAGTCTAAATAATGAAAACAAAAAAAGCTTTAACAATATAATAAAATTTATTAAACAAAATATGGAACCAAAAGTTATTATAAAAAAAACTAGAATCTAGATCTAGACAAAATAAAACACTCAAGACATACAAGACAAACAGAACTCAACGAAACAAAACACCCAATCTCGGACCACCGTCACCACATAAACGTGACACAGAAACTCTTCAACACACAGGCCTCGACATTCCAGCAGAATGTCCCTCCCTGTCCACACACCAAAAGACAGAGTTGAACCCGCCGGAAATCGACTTCCACACGCCTCACACACTACACGTAAACAAATAGTCCCTAATTCACGGATAACAAACCAAACGCCACGAAATATGCAACAGAAATATATCAAAAGACACTTAATATAAACAATGACAACAATATAAACGAAATATATACAAACTAGCTATAAACATGGACATAAACAGTGAGACAGCGGCGCCATAATACGGGACTAGACAACTAAAAACTACGAACAATTTACGACATGAAACGAAACGATACATTCGCCTTCTAAGTTACAAATAATAATAATACACTCCAGCCGCTCACACTAAGAAAAGCTACAGGCACCAAAACCAAATATTCTGATGACCATACAGGCACCCAAACCAAATATTCTGATGACCATACAGGCACCCAAACCAAATATTCTGATGATCATACAGGCACCCAAACCAAATATGCTGATGACCTAAGAAAAGCTACAGGCACCCAAACCAAATATTCTGATGATCATACAGGCACCCAAACCAAATATTCTGATGACCATACAGGCACCCAAACCAAATATTCTGATGACCATACAGGCACCCAAACCAAATATTCTGATGACCATACAGGCACCCAAACCAAATATTCTGATGACCTAAGAAAAGCTACAGGCACCCAAACCAAATATTCTGATGACCATACAGGCACCCAAACCAAATATTCTGATGACCTAAGAAAAGCTACAGGCACCCAAACCAAATATTCTGATGACCATACAGGCACCCAAACCAAATATTCTGATGACCATACAGGCACCCAAACCAAATATTATGATGACCATACAGGCACCCAAACCAAATATTCTGATGACCTAAGAAAAGCTACAGGCACCCAAACCAAATATTCTGATGACCATACAGGCACCCAAACCAAATATTATGATGACCATACAGGCACCCAAACCAAATATTCTGATGACCATACAGGCACCCAAACCAAATATTCTGATGACCTAAGAAAAGCTACAGGCACCCAAACCAAATATTCTGATGACCATACAGGCACCCAAACCAAATATTCTGATGACCATACAGGCACCCAAACCAAATATTCTGATGACCATACAGGCACCCAAACCAAATATTCTGATGACCATACAGGCACCCAAACCAAATATTCTGATGACCATACAGGCACCCAAACCAAATATTCTGATGACCTAAGAGAAAATACATCCAGTCTATTGACATATAGTTTCTATTCCAATGTGGAAAAGTCTGATTCCAATGTGGAAAAGTCTGATTCCAATGTGGAAAAGTCTGATTCCAATGTGGAAAAGTCTGATTCCAATGTGGAAAAGTCTGATTCCAATGTGGAAAAGTCTGATTCCAATGTGGAAAAGTCTGATTCCAATGTGGAAAAGTCTGAACACAATGTGAAAAAGGTCTTGTAACTGTGATAATCAAATCTAACGACAAAAGAGGTTAAAATCCCGAGAAATCCAATGGTAAGAAATCCTACAAATTGAGTGAGATTTACCGTGCTGTTTTGCCAGTCCCCCTTAATTTTGTCACACAGCCGAGGATGACTGTCTGACTTTGTTAAAGATAATCCAGTAAATGGTGTGATGAAAAAGCTCTGCCACTTACAGAAATAGATCCCATGTATTGACTTGGCTTAATCCTCTTTTCTCCATGTGGAACATAGGGCCTTCACCATATCCTTCCATTTCATCTGATTCCTTTATCCCAAACATACACATAGGCATACATAGTATGTCATTTTGGGGAACAGAGCATTCCCTCCCCCTGCCAAGTAAGATATTACCCCCTCTTCCCCCCCCCCCCCGGCAATAGCTTAAGGTACAGTTTAGGATCAGCGTTAGGTTTAAACTAATGTGTAGGGTTGGGGTTGGGTTTAATTTTAGGCTGAGGTGAATGCTTAGGTTTAGGATTTTTCTTAAGGTTAGAATCAAGGTAAGATATATGTCTAGAATCAGAATTGGGGGTCAGGATCCTTGAGCTTGGAGAGGGGTAATTCCCCCGGGGGGTAAGTGACTGGGATAATTGCTCCAAAGAGGGGGGATGTCCTGGGTGGATAATTTGACTGGGGGGGGGGTGGGTAATGTCCTGTAGCCATTATTTTATTATGAGAAAAGGGCCATTATGAAAAATCAATCCACTGATTCAAATATTATGTAACAGTTGATGTGATAGCTCCATGCAGCTTTGAGTATGTTGTAGCCTTGTGTTCAGTTTGACAGTGTTACCTTGAGCGGCAGTCACTGAGATAGCAAATACCTAATGATGACAGTCGTAGGGGGAGGGAAGTGTGATGTCATTATGGGGGGGGGGGGATCTGACAGTAGCAGAGCCGGCGTTAGGAATATGCGGGGCCTAGGGCCAACTTTCCAACTTTTGTGTGTGTTTCAATAGAGATGGATATATTTAAAAAGATATACACGTTGCTGTATACCTCTTACATCAATTTTATTAGCAAAGCTTATTTAAATCAAACTGACTTATGTTAAAGAAGATGAACATAATTGTTCATCCCAACAGTAGTTTGTGTATGGGGGTTAAGTTTGCATTAAAATTTTATCACTTTTATTAATTTTGTCAAGCCAAAAAGTAATTTTTTTAATGCAAGTTTCTTTGTAAATGGGTCATATTTTTTAACAGTAATTTTGCCATATTTTGTAGTACAATTTTAAATAATAAATGTGCCATATTTTATTACCAGATTACTCTTTGCATGTTTCTATTTATCTAAAAATATACAAAATGTTTTTGATAATTAAATTCATATTTGATTAGATGATAACATCAGGTTGAAAGCCATAAAAGTGTGTATGTATCTGTCATACCTAAGATACACATTTGTGTAGATGGTTAATAGCAAAAGCATAAGATTATTATCATAATGTATTAGCTGCAAATTGAATGTTTACTGCAGTAACAAAAGTTTTGACACTTGACTAGAATGGCTACACTTGCTCCTACTTTCTGTCAAGCTTGTTTTTATTTTAAGAATCCATGTTTTCGTGATAACATTTTTTGGACCTTTTTACTTTCTCGTATATACGTAGTATAGAGAAAGTATTGTAATCGTGCAAAAAAAAAATCGAGATTTTTACAAATCTCGACGTTTTACACCTCACTGATACGGAAAAACATAATTTTGCAATCTTGTCCGTATGTCTGTGTGTGTGTGTGTGTGTCTGTGTGTCTGTCCGTGTGTAAACACGATAACTTGAGTACCGTTACAGCTAGGTTGATGAAATTTCATGTAAAAGTATTATATCAAAATCGTAGATCCGTATCAACTTTTGAGCGATTTCCGACAACCGGAAGTGGTACTTTTTCTACTTTGAATTTTTCAAAAGCCTATAACTTGAGTACTATTTCAGATAGATAAATGAAATTTTACATGTAAGTAAAAGATCTAATTCTCTACCTTCTGTTAAATTTTGAGTAATTTCCGTTGACCGGAAGTAGTAATTTACGCTACTTCCGATTTCTCAAAAAACTAATGTAAATTTATTAAGTACTAATACTATTGCGCACTATTATACACACCTTTATTAGGCGTTCGCTTGGTGCGCAATTGTTTTTTACTGAGATTCTATTCTATTTTTAAAAGTTTCAGTATTTAAAATGGATTAAAAATCATAACTATATCCCCAGTTACCATCCCCTGTTGTTTTATCCTAATATATAATTCCCCATGTGCGCACTTCTCTCTCTCTCTCTCTCTCTCTCTCTCTCTGTCTGTCCGCAAAATATTTTCGCCGGACATCACGTCAGAAACGGCAGCGATATATGGAGAACTTTATACGGACTTTTGTTGAAAATAATATGTTAGATGTTTTAAATGTATAACCACAATTTTATTTAAAGAAGAAAAATAAAAATTAAAGGCGTATTCGAATGTAGAGAAACAGTATTATTTATGCAACCGGAAAAGCATTAATAGATGTGAAAAAGAACGCATAAAACTGTGACGTCACTATTGCTTATACATTAACTAATGACGTCATCTGCCGTGTTTAGAATAAAAAGAAATGAACTATTTCATTCAAATTTGATTTAGATCTACGTACACTATGAAATGTATACAATACAATTTTTCCGGCCTAAACTCATAAAATTTATTTTATTTATTTGGATTCTAGATCTAGATATTCTAGATTCATCTATTCAAATAATACATTTCTATACTAAAGTATTTCAGGCCTTAATTACTTTATTGAAATCTTTGTTTATCTATGCAATTTGCTAATCTCTATAATATATAAAGCAAAGTTGTCGGGTGCCCGATAGGGCACTTCCCGGCGCCGCAGGCGCTTCAAATTTGGCAGGATCTTGCCTTGGGGCGACAGAACACGGTGGCCGGTTGGCCGAAAAGTCTACGATGATGGGGTCAAAACTGACCTCGACTGACCGGCGCCTTATATGAGCTATAAATCGAAAAAAAAAATGTCCACGGAGGAACCTCTTTTTTTTTTTTTTTTTTTTTTTTTAGCGTGTGATTGATTCAATTTATTCAATTTATTCAAACAACGGTTACAATTGTAGGCACAAAGGCCTTTTTTCACATTGGCCGTTTAAACAAACAAAACAATTCAATAACACATAGCAGTAACACATAGCATTAAAAATGTGGAATAAAGAAACAATGGTACATAGCTATCATACATAATGAGATAGCAAAGAGAATATAATAGATGAATGAGAAATGTTACAATGAGTCAGTTAGGTCATTAAATAATTTTAGTTTTAGTTTAGATTTGACCCTCGGGCGAATTAATTAAGCATTCAAATTCTCAATGTTTTCGAAAGCCTAAGCAAAGCTTGGCAGCATGCCTAGTATAAGAATATTCGAGAAAGTTTAGGGGAGATCACTACCGGTTTATTTCAATAAGATTTTTTAATATAAACATTTGTCCACCAAGCATTGCCTCCATCTCAACTTCCACTCTTCCTTGTTCAAGAGCTAATGACAATACAATCTGACATCAAATTTGATTGGATGCTTGATTCCTTTTTAAAGAATTAATTAAAATTTCCTATTTAAAGTACTATTTACCACACTATTATTTATACACACATTTTTCTCTTTCATTGAGTGCTCAATTCTTTTTAATCATGCAACTCTATTGCATTAAAAATTTTAAAATACTGGGGGAAAAAAAGCATCAAAACCTTTTAATAACAAGCTTTTATGAAATAAACCGGGAGTGATCTCCCCTACACTTTCTCGAATATTCTTATATAAAATAACAGGGGATGGGAACTCGGGCTATAGACATGATCTTTAATCCATTTTAAATACTTAAAGTTTTAAAAATAGAATAAAATCTCGTAGACAAAAGAATTGCACATCAAGTGAACGCCAAATAAAAAAAAGTGCATAATAGTGCGCAATGTTATTAGTACTTTAAAAATTTACATTAGTTTTTTGAGAAATCGGAAGTAGCGTAAATTAGTACTTCCGGTCAACGGAAATTACTCAAAATTTGACAGAAGGTAGAGAATTAGATTTTATACTTAAATTTGAAATTTCATTTATCTATCTGAAATAGTACTCAAGTTATAGGCTTTTGAAAAATTCAAAGTAGAAAAAGTACCACTTCCGGTTATCGGAAATCGCTCAAAAGTTGATACGGATCTACGATTTTGATAATATACTTATATATGAAATTTCATCAACCTAGCTGTAACGGTACTCAAGTTATCGTGTTTACACACGGACACACAGACACACAGAATACGGACAGAATTGCAAAGCCCAGTTTTTCAGACTGGATTACGCATAAAACCTCTTAATTTTGATAAATCTGGATTGATAATTTTTGCCCGATTAAAATAAGTCCTCTATACTCCGGATGTGATGAAGGACTGAGGAGTAAAACGGTGAAAACTGTCAAAATTTCATGTTATTTTTGTGCACGATTACCATTCTTTCTCTATACTTCGTATATACGAGAAAGTGAAAAATGCACTAAAAGAAATAAAATACTTTAAAAAAACTTTTTAAAAAACCACGTTTTTCTTGTGGACTAAAAAGTAGAAAATAAATTTTTCTTTTGTGCTTCCTCGAGCTGTGCAGATTCTTGTGATGACTGACAAAAAACGTGGGTACGTTCACCATCAAATTTCCCGACCCATCTGCCCGACCCACGTTTTTTGTCAGTCATCACAAGAATCTGCACAGCTCGAGGAAGCACAAAAGAAAAATTTATTTCCTACTTTTTAGTCCACAAGAAAAACGTGGTTTTTTAAAAAGTTTTTTTTAAGTATTTTATTTTCTCCTTTTTAGTCCGTTGCTACACATGAAAAACGTGGTTTTTAAAAAAGTTTTTTATATAGTTTATTTTCTACTTTATCTAATGACTTGATTAGTATGACTTGACTAAGTGTTTATAAATACACGGACTAAAAATCTTGAGCG